TCTCTTATATATACCATGAAAGTTCATAGGCTCTGATACCAACGAAACAGGATCACTGATCTGACGGTAGTCCGCCCAGTCATAGATCAAGCAAGTCAATATCCTTAGAGGTAGTCCATCTACATAAGAATCGAAATACACAAGAATTTTAATATCGTTTCTCAGACTGCATGGTTTAATTATTTTACCCAAGCAAAGGGCCTGTCAAGAAGCTAATACATATTTTTATTGAGCCCATGTATCTGATAGTTCTAACCGGGTATCAGACGCCCTACTTATCAAACTCTTTTCCGGGCTAAAAACCACGGCTCATCAGACGGAGTCATAAAGACAAAGCCAATAAAAGTAGTACTAGATCCGATTGTACCTCAATCTCAGAACCAAGTCGAAAAGCCATACTAAAATTCTTCTATGTTTAAATAAAGCTTAGATCCGTTCATGGTCTATATAAGAGAGAAGTTAGTTATCCGGCATAGATATAAGTTTTTATTTTTCTGCAGATATAACTGTTGATAAAGTATGTAATGAAGCAGCGCGATTTCTAGTTGGACCATAACAAGGTTCTATCGGAGAAATATGTTGAATAGCCAGTCTTCTATCAGAAGCAAAAGAATGTCTACTATAAGGAACACTTTTTTCATCAAACTGTATACAAATTTTTCCATTGGAATTTTGACTAATATGAGAATATTCAGAATTGGTGATAGCATCTGTCAGTTGTTCAGGGGTAAAACAGAATCTAGAGTCCAAGTTGTAGGAAATTAATTTTTCCCCATTTTATAGGTCTTCTAGTAGTGACCTTAGATCTGGCGAAATTAGTTTCTACACAAAATAGTTTGATCAGATGTATCGTATAACTTACATCTAGGATTCAAGGTAGCAAGTAATTTATAATAGATTCTATACGACAAGCAAATTAATTCAGATCCAGGTGCATAGTTATAACCATGCGTTTTAACATTCAAAGTTAAAGCATCTAAGATATTAGAATCAGTCAAAGATAACTGCAAATTGGGCTGAGCATTAAAATAAACTGGACCATAGGCCACCGTAGATTCTATCGAACCCATCAAAGACTGTCGAAAATTAAGGCTACCGTAGATTCTATCGAACCAATCAAAGATTGTCAAAAATTTAAATTTCTCGCATCTCATAGAGCAGCTAAGAAAGTCTCAGGTAACCCTTTAAGAGTTAAAGGTTTAAAAGCAATTTGAACCATGCCAATATGCAAAAACTTATATTGAGATCTATATAAATCAATATCTCGCTTATTTAATAAATGAATAGTTTGTTCAGACGAGTTTAACGCCAAAGATTGCTCAGTTGTTTTAATCAACTGTTTATTTGAGATTTTATCAAACCAACCGTAATCATAAATAGTTTTTATATTCACTTTCGGAATAGTCCATTTGTTTAACAAATCAAGGTTTTGCGGTATATCTACCTCTTCTAACCGAGTACTTTTAATATCTTCTTGATCCATAAAAGAGTTATATTTTTTTGTTTTAATTTATTTATCTTATCTATTTATGTTTTGAATATTTAAAGTTTATATAATTTTTTTTATATAAAGTACGATAATTATTAATTTAAAATATTTAAATTTTAAAAGATATAATAAAATTCGATTGATTCTCAAAATTTTATGGGTGTCACATAAATTATGACAAAAGAAATAATATATTATATTATTTAAAATGACATAAAACACACTATAAATCACAATAATTAACAACTTGAAATATTTGAAAAATATACAAAAATAAAAATAAAAATCGGTTGTTTGCACCAGGTAAATTGTGACATAGAGAGTAATATATATTATCTTTTAAAATTATGTAAAAATTACTATAAATCACAATAATTAATATCTTCAAATATTTTTAAAAGTCTATATTTTTAAAAAATGATTCTCCAAATTCTAATCATGTCACATCAATTAAAACTAAAAAAATAACATATATTAAGTCCGTATTAACACAAGTCTTCATCTCGAATATACATGATAAAGAGTGTTATCACTTATCTCATCATTATGGTGTAAAGTTTATTTATTTTGTCCACACGTACGTGATCAACTTGCAAACAAGCTAGCCACAGCTCCTTGGACTATAAGATTCATATCATAGTCTAATAAATAAACATCATCTTATTCATAGTTGTTTGGTAAATCTGCTGGTTTTTTCAGTTTGCCAAAAGATATATGCTTCGAAAACCAACAATTACTATATACTAGTATATTTTAGTATATCTTCAATTCATATGACGTACTAAAGGACAATCATCCAAATTAAACCATGCATGAATCTAGCTGGTTCAGTCAGAGGCGGTTGTGGCCTTTTTGGTATTAAATTCATTTGAGCTCAATAGATGTATAAATATATAATTTTTTTAAATAAAATTAAATATATAACATAATAAAATTTAATAAAAAGAATATTAAATATAAATTCACAAAATTTTAATCCTAAATTTATCTGTGAACTCGGATCTATAGCCAGCATTTGCAAATGGCAAGGACTTCAAATATTCTTTCGTGAGCATATAGTAACATTTACGCATGTAACGTAAATCAAATTCTCTTAAATTAGTTAAAGATGAGTCTGATTTTCTGTTTACATTAAAATAATATTACTTATAATATTCAAGCCTATTTTATTTTTTAAATTAGACTAATATTACTTTTTACATTACCTTGATATTTTAATGATCACTAGAAGAAATCGTTCACACTTCACAGTTAGAGAAACTAGTTTATACCTACAAAATACAGTAGAGTTATTATTTGTTATAACAAGTTTAATTACAAAGATAATATAAAAATTAATGACACTATATACAAGTTAATTAAATCATTCTTATTTTTCCCCCCCTTTTTCTATTCTACGTAGAAAACGAGTACGTATTTTAATTTCTTTTAGGGGCGTGTGGGTTATACAGAGGCCCTGGTCGTTTTTCAAAACACTATGGACAGCCAAATTAAGCTCCATCAGCTTTTATTTACTAATATAAATATAGATTCGTGTATATATATATATATATATATATATATATGATATAAAAGAGCTTAGGGGCATTTGCTAATTAGGTGAGGAAGGGGAAATGAAAATAGTACACAACATTTAGCAATATCACCCCGATGTGGTGCAGTAAATGAGGTTGATCTTTCATTAATCAGAGGTCTCAGGTTCGAACTCTGGATATGAAAAGATCCTTAATAAAGAGTGTTTTCCTCTGAATGGGTCCTTTACAGCGTGAATCTGGAATAATCAGACTCCAATACGGATACCAAACACCAAACGGGGATGAAAAAATATTTAGCAACATCACATTGATCACTTTGGAAACTCCAAAGAATGAATGAAAACAGGTTTTTCAGGTAATATATCTGCTGATTTGACTTTCCTTTGACTTATATATTACAATGTGTGTGTTGATACCTCTCCGCCAAATATTCCCTTGCTAAATAGTTCTTTTATAGCTAACAAGATTTTGGCTAATCCCTCGTTAAATAAGGTTAGTAACAATTTTTTTTATTGTTTAGCGATTGAAATTGTTACTCGCTAATTTATATATTTTTTGGTGAATTAATGTTAATTTAATTTATTAAGATTTTCTTTTTTTAATTTAATTTTTGCATTGAAGCCTAATTAAATTCAAATTCACATATTGGAGGATTCATTTATGAAACTCTCGAATGTATTTATTAAAATTGGTAAGAATATGTTAAATTTTGACATGAAAAACAACTCTTAGATTTTGAGTTTTCAAGTCTAATCACCCTTGATCCATTCTTTTATTTGTTACATATCATGTATATTATACATAAACTCGTAAGTGAAGAATTTAGGAAAACGAGGATTAAAATATTTAATTTTGATTATGATATTCGATATAGACCCACACACATGCAAAGTTAATGTAGTAAGAGCCGTTTGGTAGAATGTATACAAATAGTATTGAATAAGATGTACTAGTTGTAACGTTGATATTAGTATATACTGCATGTTGAATTAATTGTCTTGAGATTTTCTTTAATTTCCAATTTGATTTGATGTATTAAAGATAATTATATCTTTAACCATACTTATTCATGTATTAATAACCATTATAATGCTAATATCATGATTTACTATATCTTAATTATACTAATAAAGTATATACCTTATATGAAAATACTACTAATTGAATAATTAAATAATATCATAATTAATACGTAGAATCAAATTTCTAATACATCCTGTCGGCCTCTCCATAGATGTGAAGTTCATGCATGGTTACTCAATATTCTTTCTGAAATAGTTTCCATTTCAATTAAAAACTTAATGTTAGAGAAGTAACACATATCTTCCTCCCTAGCAAAAACAAATAAATAGAGGCATTATCCTCTTATAGAAGATTAACTGATATAGTGAATTATAATGTACGAGGTGAGCGAGTTGGACTAAATTTGAACATGTTAAAATGAGCTAAATTAATAATTTTGATTGGACTTTAATAAACTAAAAGTCCGTATAATCCAATATTTAATTTTAAAATATTTGTTGAGTATCTAATAAATTTATTATGATTTTATATAATACATCAAATTTTAAAAAAAAAAATTAAAAAATTTAAACAATTTTTTTGTGAGTCATTTTAAGCTAAATAAATAAAATAAATAGATTATTAATCTGTCCAAATCAAATCATAATTTTATAAGCTGATTTTATCGTCCTTCTCTTTTCGTATATTTATTGATTTATTAAAAAAAAAATTATGTATACGTGTGTCAAAAGTAATTGCAACTGAAATAGAATCTTCGAAAATAGAAACGCAGGAAGAGTACTTTTTCTAACATGAAAAAAGAAATAAAAGTTCCACAGCTGTAAAAGTGTAAGCCGTTCGATAGAGACACGTGTCATACTTCTGTACCAAAGTAAGAAAGTTCAATTTAGACCCGCGTAGCAGGGAATCAACCCACCCGTTCTTTCATTTTAGAAGCTTCTCCTTCAATTTTCATCTCAGAATCAGAAAAACTAGAAAATAAGAAATGCCAATGAAGAAGATCAGAGACGTAACCGCTAATTTTTCGAACCAATTTTCACTTCCCTTCGTAAGTATTTTTTTTTCCTCGAATCAGTTGAAATTTGTCCCTATTTTTGTGTAATTATAGTACTAATTAGACTGAAAGTCATGTAAATCTGCAATTTTATTTGTTTGCTATTCATATATCCCGAGATTATATGCAAATCATACACAAAATCGCTGTTTGTAATTGGAATGGACAAATTCAACTGCAAATTCAAGCTTATAGAAGTTTAATTAGTAAGTTGATGATATGATTGGTGAGCATATGCATAAACAATGTTAAATTTCTGAACTATATTGTTAATTGCTGAAGAAATTAGAAATTAGATCAATGAAGAAGCTAACTACTTAATTAACTCACTTAATAAATGATTAGTTCTCTTCTGAATAAGTCAATAGCTTTCTAAAGTTATTCGTAATGCTCTAGGCAAAATCGCTAACACAATATTTGTGATTATAGTTTTCTCTATACCTTTCTGAATGGATAAACGAAAAAATCATTTCTAAATCAAATTTCAACTTCAAGGAGAAACATGATGTTCTTATCAATATATTGGCTTGGATTTATGATTCTCTAATATGTAAGATTGAAGAAAATATTGATGTCTCTTGTTTTAGCAGTTTATCTTATTTTCTGAGGAGATCAGCTTTCATTCTATGAACAACATTGTAAATTAGCAGCTTGAATTAGGACCAATGACAATGACTTAACCATTTTATACAATTTGGTGGATAATGAATTAATTTGAAGTAAAACCAAAAGCAAATAAGATGAAGAAACTGCAGGCAATTAGAGTAGCATTAACAACAGTTCTGAATTTTCGATATTGCAAAGGAGTTAAATCATTATGATGTGAAATAGAGTCAGTTATCAATTTGATTAACAAAGGTGATGACTGCATCATTTATTCCACTAACTGCTGTAAGAAATATATGTAAAAAGAAGCAATTCAGTGTAAGAAAATATAGATAATTTGTCACGATGATTAATTAATTTGAAGGAGTTCTGAAATGATAACTGGATAGTGCTGGACCTCTGAAATTTCGCTGAGATCACCGTGATGAAAAGTTTTCTGTAGTGTTAGACTCATCATATTGACATGCCAGGCTTATGAAAATTGAGATTCCGTTATGTCTTATCTGGGGAAAAAAGAAATAAGGAAAAAGATTATAATACTAAAGTTGTTGTTATGCTGGTTAATTTGTGGGCTACTGTACAGAACAGATATTGTTGGAAGCTGATTGTATCTGTATATACTTTACAATGGTAAATCACCCTAGTGTCTTTGCAGGTCTAATTAGTTTAAGATCTTAATGAATTCTCCTTATCAATTTACTGTCAACAAAAAAATAAACACGTGTACTAGAGATGAATGTGGTATGGTTTACATTAGGATTAAGCAGGAATACCTTTTAAACAACTTGAATGCTTTAATGTGATGAGTGTATTGTAACATCTATGTGCTGAAGTCTGGTGTTAGCCAACTGAGGTCAAGCATTGGCTGAATGAAGATCCTGATGGTTCATTTTATGATGTTGACAAATCATGCTTCCATAAATCCGTCAAAATGAAAATCGTACTTAAAAATAAATGAACTGATAAACTTTGTTCCAAAATTTATTTGTCACAGTGAGATCTTGTATATGAAGAATGAAGAGACCCTCACGATTGATATTAGAGTGTGTCATAAGAAAAACAGCTACTAGTTATATGCCTGTGTATTTAAACAGTACGAACACAGAGGTTGTGCAGCATTGAATTTGAGTGTAAAGAAGAGATTTCTTGTATGCTTTGCTCTGCTCTGCTCTGCTGTCTCATTTACCATAATCTTCATGAGTTTATTTTTAATTTGTCTATGTACTTTGCTTCCACAATATCTTCTCCAGAAATGAAGTCTAGAAAATCACTGAAGCTTCCTTCTTTATAGGACAAGATATGTTGTTCATTGACAAGCTCTGATGCAGGTCTAACTTTTTTACCTAAAGCTAGACTATGAAGGCTGGCAATCGAAATGCGCTTTTTTTCTGAGTTAACTGTTGCTCGATGCAGAACACTTTTGTATCTGCCATTGCTCAATACTTCCATTTGATCTCCCAATTGAACAATGAGAGCTCCTTCAATGAGTGGAACTGAATGCCACTTTTCATCTCGATCCATGATTTGCAAGCCCAGATGGTTTTGAAGAATGATTGTTAGCATACCATAATCTGTATGTGGTGGCAATCCTAGTGTAAGATCTGGCTCAGGACATGCTGGATAGCAATTAACTGCCATGACCTGGGAACCTTCTGCAATGTCTTCATGTAAGTAATTACTGTTTAGTCCTAAGCTCTCAAATATCACCTCCATGAGTTCTTCTTGCAACTTTTGTGCTGCCACTGTGTAGTTTCCCATTTTCTTCCTGCATGAAGAATTTCTTTAGGATCTTGAAGAAATTATATCGTTCTTGAACAGTAAGAAGTTGAATCTACAAGACAACTTTTCTGCTAAAAATATTCAGTAAAGAAAATGAAAGACTTACTTGTAAGCTGTGGGATTTGATGGCCAAAAGTCGAGCCAAGTTGAGGTTGGATTAGCATAGTGCTTGAGGAAGTCTCTCCAAAAGTATACTTTGTCTTTGACATGATTTAGACTGGTACCATATCTTACGGGGTCATGAACATTTGAAGACAAGAGATGCCTTTTCTCTTCAGTTGGTAAATTGAAGAATTCGCTCGCAGCATCTATAGCATCTTTCATGACTGACATTGGGATTCCATGGTTAACTACCTGCAGAATCATTTATTGCATGCATGGTGTTATTTTACGCTCAGCTGAATTTGTGAAGAACGTCATATTTTTCTTCCTATTAGACATGTTGAGAATATAATTAAATAATAAAAGCGTGCTCTCTCTAATAGCTTAAGCTTTTAGATGAGATGGTCACACACTTCAACATGGTATCAGAGCAGGCAGAGGTCCTGAGATCGAATCTCACCGCCAACCCAAATCAAAAAAGAATTTCCACGTGCTTGGCCCATGAAAAAAAATCAGGCCCGCACGTGTGGGGGCGTGTTGAGAATATAATTAAATAATAAAAGTGTGCTCTCTCTAATAGCTTAAGCTTTTAGATGAGATGGTCACACACTTCAACAAGACAACCTAAGTAGCTGAAATCTTGGACATTGACTTGTTTAAGTGAATCTGAAAATAAAGGTTAATGAGAAGACAAAGGAGATGAGACCTAGAACCTTAATGCACCATGTGTGACATTAAGTTCTTTCTATATGTTGATGATCTGACGACATCTTTTTCCTTATTTGGATCCTATCGCAAGGAACAAAGTAAACGAATAGGGTAACACTTTCTTATCTAGTATGCAGTTGCAGGTGACATGGACACGACACGACAGTGCATGACAAGTAGTACCTGGAAGAAACCAAATTTCTTGCAAGCCAGGTGTACTTCCTGGATTATCTGAGGCCGAACAAGAGGGTGTTGCAGATAGGATAGATCCACAATTGGCAAGCATGTGTTATACTCGGCTCCATTGGGCCGTAGGGATGGTGGAAGGATATAACGCTTGGGAACACAGGTTAGTTCCTCTTTAGTAAGTGTCATGGCGCTAGTAAATGAACCATTTGGTGAAGCTGAGCTCCCTATCATTTTTCCCACCATATTGTGTTATTCTTCCTTTATGTTCCATATGGCTTTTAATTACTCCCTATTTATAAGGAGGAAAATATGAAGATATGGTTGGAGTTTTAATTATTTATCCAGGTATATGTGTAATGTAATGAATATATATACGTATAATGCTATGGTACTATGACTATAACCAATGAAGAATATTGTATATAGTCATACATGAATAGCCAAAGAGTGAATCATTTTAGGCTTGGTAATTGTCGGATTTGGCTCCCCTCCATTACCCTTTCCCTCCATTTCGTTAAGTACACATCTGGATGAAAGAGATGTGTACTATTTAATTGTTAAAGGTCAAGATTATATTGCATTAACTAGTATCATAACCATAGTTAAGTGAATAAGTTTTGGAAAAAATTCTCTCCAATTTTTTTTAAGAATAATTAATTCTTCTCAATTTTTCGTATCCATATATTTATGTCATTAATTTTATTTTATATTTTTATAATTAAATATTAAAATTATGGAACATGAACTTAACAACGTTTAATTTGTTTAGCCTAACGGTAGTCTTACAAAATATTTTACCTTTAAATTGATATTTTCTTTTATTTTATTTTTTAAAAAGATTTTTTTTTTTATACTTTCACATTTGTAATTCTAATGCAATTTTTACTTCCCATTTTTATTATATGATTTCTATCATCAATGATAATTCTTCCTTTTATTTTTTAAATTTCTCAACCTAATATTTCAAGAATAAATTTGCTAGCATAGGAACCGATTAAATAATGTACAATATTAATATTTGAATATAGAAATAAAAAATGAAATTAAACTGTTCTAAGATTTGTAGGAATATTTTTCTTACCAAAGTTAAGAAATTATTTGTTCAAAACTTATTCCTTAACTACGGTTATGATACTAGTTAATGCAACATAATTTTGACCTTTAGTAATTAAATAATACACATGTCTCTCATTTAGATGTGTACTTGACGAAATGGAAGGAAAGAGTAATGGAGGGGCTCAATCCGTAATTGTCGGTCTTGATAGTTGAATCTGATAGTGTAACTGTGTTCAGATTCAAGTGGGTGTGGTCCACGCGCCATGAGAGAGAATGATGATCTAATATTATACGTGCGTACGTATTGGAACATTAATTTTTCCCTTTGGATCATCTCCAACCCGCCTCTATTTTACTCTCCATTCTCTATATCTGGAGAGTAAAATAGAGAATGGACACTCCAACTCACCTCCATATCTTTCTCTATTCTTCATATTTAGAGAGGTGAATAGTAGTTCTCCAAATTTGGAGAACTTGGAGAACTACTATTCACACTTTCTATTTTACTTTTTGAATATTTTATTATTATTTCTTTTATTTTCTAATTAACATATTATTTTACATATAATGTTATTAATTAAATATCTAATATTCATAATTCTTTTTAAATGTAATATAATATTTAAAAATATATATTATTTAATATATACTACTTTCATCCTGAATTAATAATATTTTATTTTTTCTAATTATTGTCAACAATATAATATAATTTTATTATTAATTTTCACTATAAAAAATACACAAAACTAAAATGATAAGATGAAAATTTTAATTTAAAAATACAATACATAATATGATAGTTTAAATACAAGATAACAATACAATACGTAACATAATAATTTGAATACAAGATAAAATACAACACATGACATAATAATTAATTCGCGATGAAACAAGAATCATTCCGAAAAGATGTTGAACGTGCATTCGGAGTTTTGCAATTATTGCAGGACCGTCATGTTTTTGGAGAAAGGAAGTGCTACATGATATAATGACTACATGTATTATACTGCACAACATGATAATTGAGGATGAACATGATCTTAATGCACCAATTTAAGATGTCGTAGAGGCTCCAACTCCAACGACAAAAATGGTGGTAGATGAAAATCTCTGATTTGAACAATTTTTAGGTAGACATAAAAAAAATGAAGGACAAAAATGCTCATTTTGAACTTTGATATGCATTAATAGAGCATTTATGGGAGCAACGTAATAATTTCGAAAATTGAGTGTTTATGTAATTGTATATCACTTTTATCCATTAATTTGTATATTATATAATATTTTCTTGAAATTTATGTTATTTAAAAATTTAGAACAAAATATAATTTTATATTAAATAAAAAACTTGAAAAATAAAATTTTATATCACATGAAAAATATATAAAGTAATTATTGGGAAAAAGAAATAAATGATTTATATTATGAAATAAGAATGAAATAGAAATAATAATATAATATTGAGGAGAGAGAAAAAGATTCTTTTTTAGAGAGTAAAATAGAGAATTGGGTTGGAGTTGGTTGTTTAAAAAAATAGAGAACTCTATATTTGGAGAGTAAAATAGAGTGTAGGGTTGGAGAACTCTATCCGGGAAGTAATTCAACTCGTTGCCTATTTGTTCAGTGCTACTCTCTAGGTATTGTTTGTTTGATTTTAATTTGACACGAAGTTTTAAAAAAATAATTTTAAAAAATATTCTTGTAGTGTTAAATTAAAGATATATAAAATGTATCAAAATATCTTTTTATCTCGTAGGTAAATTAGAATTAAAGAATTGTTAAAAAAAAAAGGAGATAGATTGTTTTTGAAATGAAGTAAAAAAGAAAGTAAGACAATTAAATTGAAAATGAGAGTTGCATTTAAGGTGAGGCTACCTTTGTCAAAATTTTACATTAGGAGTAATCATTTTCAGCATTAAAAATACTATTATGGCAAACTTGAAGTGAGTCTTATTCGAATACAATTATACAAAAAATGAGTTTAGATCAAGCGGATGCTATTGAAAAAAAAATGTTTGGGATGAAATTGGTTGTTCTAACTTCAAACAAGCATATCTGAAACTTAAACATACATGTTTGAATTTTGACCTTAACAAGCAATTATGAGTGAGCAGTATATTTGGACATTGCTATTTAAGGTGTGTTAGAAAAGTACAATTTTGATATTTAAATTATAAATAGTAAGTAATTTGTTATAATCGTAATATTAAGTTGTGATAAGCCACTGTTTTGAATGCAATTTGGGTCTGACTTTAATGCAAATCGCTAAGGCTGAGCGTTGGAAAGAATGATGAGTTCTCAAGGTTTCAGCCCTTTCAAACACGCGCATTTGTGGCTGAAAGTTTAGAACTGCACAAATACAATTAACCAAAATTTACCAGAAACGAATGCTAATGAGAGAGAGATTTAATGAAGGAGAATGTATTTATTTGTGTGTTTTATCTCTCACGAAGAAGACATCCAAATATATAAACATAGGAAATTGACTGTTATGGTGAAGAAATTATAAACAACACATTAGTTTGTGAACATAATGGTTGAATAATTCTCATTATTCATTAAGGCCTTAAGTTACAATTTTGCATTACCAATTTCAGAGAATAAATGTGATACAGTTAACTTTTGTATTCATAATTACATAATCAATTTCAGAGAATGATTGTATTGACTTTTTTACTTTACATTCTCAATTTTTGTAATAAAAAGTGCCACCAAGGCGCAAATTACCTTTTCATTTTTTATTCATAATCAGCACAGGCTAACACATCCTTCTGCCCCCACCTTATTGTTAAAAGCTTTGCTTAGTATTTGTTAATTGAAATTTCATGGAATAATAATAAATATAATTAAATAGAAATGTAGAACAAGTAGAAAATTTCTCTGAGCCAACAAATTACTTGTAATATTCTTTATGAATTGTAACCTGCTTTATTATTGTAAAGATTTTGGGTTGCTTTTTCAGAATATTAATTTTTGTAATAGTGGCAATGTAAATTACAGAATTCTCGCAAACTCAAATACTGGTTTGGTTCGCGAATTTCAAATTTGAAATGACCTAATGACAATTTGAAAAAGTCTGCGAGTTTCTAATTAAAATTGTGCGCAAAAATATCAGAAAATAGAAAATAAATAACGGAAGTAGAACATAAATTTGATTTGAAAAATATAAAAATCAATCAGATCATTTGATCAAATCCAAATTTGAAGAGGTATTGGATGAAAAAACTAATGCACTGTATTCTTTTTCTACCGGCAATCACGCGCTCAAGTTCACGTGTGAGCACGCACTGCCATGTCATCTATGCATGGATGTTCAATATGCATATTTTGAGCATACATTAAGCATTTACTAATATAATACATTGTAAGCTTAATATAAGTGTTAAATTATATGTAAAATCCTATCAAACTTAGTTTATATATTTGGGGATAGAAATGAATGAGGAGTTCAACTTTAAACTTTGTGAAAACTTTCGAGTTATTCATAACTAACTCAAGCTCTCAAAAAGAGAGGTAGAGTGTATAAGAATAATGCTAAATAGAGTGTATTAGTAATATTTGTATTAAAAATACATGTATTAGGTATGCTTGCATTAGTTATACATAGATTATTTTTATGCATTGTTTGGCTTGATGTATTAAAAAGTAGCATGCATTGCATAAAAAATTAAATTTACAAAGATACCCTCCACTATTATGATAGAAAAGATGTAAAAAAGGTTTTGAGGGACAATTGGATCTTTAATTGAATTAATGCATGCATTAAAACCATTGCATTGCTAATACCTAGAAATCCATGGCATTAGCAACACCTTAATACACAATATAGGTTATACATAGGTTGGAAAAGAGTACCAAACAAGGTACTAGTAATACACAAGGCTAATGCATGCATTATTTTTTCTAATACACTCTATCAAACGACCCCTAAGCGAAGTAAAACGCATTAAGAACAAAAATGGTGAAGTGTCGGAAGAAAATGTACACATTAGACAAAGATAACAAACATTTCTATATGTTCTTGGAGAAAGGGACATGAATGTCGAGTTAGGAAAGTTAGCGCATTCCAAGTGGCGTAAAGATTTTCGGTATTGTAGGTGCATAAAATCTGTAAAGATTAAGAGGGTTGTACAAAAGATGAGGAGAGGAACAATGAGTCGTCAAATAAAATTTGATAAACTTTTGAAAGAACACATGCGAGAAAAATATGAAATGGATGACTGAGTTGTTTAATGTCATTTTTAAGACAACTAAAATGATAAAAGAATTGAGGTAGAGTACAATTGCGTTGTAGTACAATTGTACGAACGAGAGTGATATTTAGAAATGCAATAATAATAAGGATATCAATTAGATTCTTAGTCATTCTATGAAAGTTTGGGAGAGTGTGGTCAAAATAAGGACGAGGAGGAATATGTCTATCTCCAAGAATCAATTTGAATTCATGACGAGGTAATTTTAACTATAAAAGTTATATTAGTTTATACAAATTTTGTAAGAGCAGTATAGATAT